TGTTGCAATGTTTTTAGGCTCATTGATTGCAGTGCATTGCATCATGACTTGTGACTGGTAATGGATTAAACGCAATTAATTATATTTTACATTAATTGAGGTTTTTGATTATAACTTAACTTATAAGAGTTAATATTTACTCTATTTGGCGGTGCTACTGAATCATTTTATTGAATAAAAAAGAGTAAAACTATTGTATAATTTGGCATTAATTGCATGTGGCAAAAGGAAAATAAATGGGTATAACGGATTCTGAACCCATGACTGAAGGTTAATATTATGCACCGTGTGAATTAAATTCGGAAAAATTTTATGTCATGTAATATAATGATTTGATTGTATGTATTAATTAAAGTTTCCTTATTCATACAATATTGAGATGAATAATTTGAATATTTTGGTATTATTTCCTATGGTTTGAAGCAATAATTTGGGTATGGAAATTAATGTCAAGTGATCCATATAATTTCATTTAATTAGGGATTAGCCTCAACATCCTTAATTATTTCAATTATATATTGAGAGTCTTTGGATCACAGGAATGATGTGACATTAGTTGTAATTCATCTTGTATGATTTGTTGTGGCAAAATTTGTTGGATTGACAAATGCAATATAATCTTTAGAAACACATGTTGTGAAGTGTTTCATGTTGTTAGAAACACATGTTGTTGAAAACATATGTTCTTAAGTGTTTCATGTTGTTGGGCATTGTTACTGATATATTATTTTGAATTATTATATGTTTATTATTTGCCCAAAAGAGGTTGTTATATATAATAATTTAGAAAATTGCATGAAGAAATTATTGATTAGATTATGTGATTTAAAAGTATTTATCTGCCCAAAGGGGATAAACTATTTTTAAATTGCATGTGATATTATGGAGAAATATGTATAATTTAAAATTTTGTCTGCCCAAAGGGGATGAATTTTTATAATTGTATGTAATTCTCCTTGTTGTTCAAATCTTCATGTGATAGAAAATATTTGTATATTATATTCCCTGCCTAAAGGGGGTTTATGGTATATAAATTATTTTGTTGTTGCCCAAATTTAATCTTATTGCATTATGTATGTTAAACAATTATTTTTTGCCATCAACAACAACATGCTACTGTTGAGTTATTTACCATTTCAAATTATAAGAAATAGAGATGTATAATTTATAGAATATTTTTATTTATTTAGTTATATGTTTCCGCTTGAACTGTTTAAGTGCAAAATCTTTTTGAGAATGCTATTATTTTTGAACTCATGACCAGTGAAGGTGTTACACCTTCTTATGAAATGAATTATGATTTTGGGCAAGATTTGTAACAGTCTATATGAATTACTATGGTATTACCACTAAAGTGGGATTGATTTGTTTGTCATGTAAATTTTTTGTAAATTTGAGGACTGCTTCGGGTTATTTCATGCAGTTTCCTGCTCAAAGGGGGTTATTGTGTGTTTTAATTAGAAGCTTGTCTATAATAAAGTTATTGGGGTTACATTGGTCTAGGTGATCCGTCTCCCCAAAGGGGACAGATCTCTTAAGCTAGTGTATGCTCATTAATTGATTCTTCTGAGGCTTTAATCTTGATTTAAACCTTGGTATGTGCATTTCGTCCAAAGAAAAAAGTACTATTTTGTTGGCCTCGTTGTAATAACTTGTCTTAATTGAAATTTTATATTGCCCTATAGTTTATTTGGATGCATTTGTTTTGCCTTAACAGTGAATTTTTGCTAATTCCTTTGAATCAATTTAAATATATTTGACAAGTGCATCTACATGAAAGTAAGTGAGAGTATATGTATATTCTTAGTACTTTATGTAGATGACAACTTATTTTTCAGTAAGACGTTGATTTACTGAATGAAATAAAAGCTATAAAAAGATTTTATAGGAAATACCTTGAAGTAGCCTCCTTTGTATACATGAGTACTTTAAATTCTTTTGATTCCCTTAATTAGTGTGAGTTGTACTCGAGGCTTTCTTTTGAATGTTTTAAATTCTTTTAATTCCCTGGATTAGTGGTGTAACAGCCCCAAACCCTGTAGCATGATATTGTCTGCTTTGCCCTGCGCACAAGCACCGTCGAGCTCACGGTTTTGTTTCTTGGGACACCCCACAAAAGGCCTCACCCTAGAAGAGGTATCCACACCCTTATAAGGCATGCTTCGTTTCCCTCTCCAACCGATGTGGGACATTACATCCTCCCCCACTGGGAATACAGCGTCCCCGCTGTACACACCGATCCAGGGCCAGGCTCTGATACCAAATGTAACAGCCCCAAACCCTGTAGCATGATATTGTCCGCTTTGCCCCGCGCACAAGCACCGTCGAGCTCACGGTTTTGTTTCTTGGGACACCCCACAAATGGCCTCACCCTAGAAGAGGTATCCACACCCTTATAAGGCATGCTTCGTTCCCCTCTCCAACCGATGTGGGACATTACAAGTGGGAGTTATATTCAGTTTACTTTTTTGGTCATGTAAACTGATGATGATTTTTGTGACTTTTGTTTGAATTTTTATAATTGATGATCATCATTATTGTTATTTCTCCAGTCGACTGAGAAATATATGTATGAATGATATCTTTAAGCATGTTGTGAGCTTAAAGATGATTGGATGTCACAAATTTTGAGATCTCATGTTATACTGTGACATGTTGGTTTATTTAAACTAAGCAATTTCATGTCGTTTGGAAATTGCGTTAAGTCAATTTCATGTTGTTAAGAAATTGGATTGAAAAAAGGCAATTTCATGTTGTTTAGAAATTGCGGTAATGCAATTTCATGTTGTTAAGAAATTGCATTATGGAGTGCAATTTCATGTTGCTTGGAAATTGCACTAATGTAATTTCATGTTGTTGAGAAATTACATTGAGGACCGATAAGAATTAGTGTGTTATATTGTTGATCACATTTTGGCACTAATTCTTACTACACTACTAGGCCTTGATTCATGAAGATGTAATACTCATTATATGTGAGTATGGAAGGTCATATGCTATGATATTTTCGGTATATTGATCGCCATGTTCCTATGATGGGGTTATGTTGGATTGAATTGTGTTGAGATGCTGGTATTGGAATTGGAATATTATTTTTCAAAACCGTGGCCACGTAAAATGATTTTTTAGTTATTAACTCGATAGAGTCGTTTTCAAAATAAAATGATTTTCAAAATAATATTAAATTAATTAATATAGCCCAAGTGGGAGAATGTTAGAATTTTCCATTATGTGGGCAATATTAATTAATTAGTTTTCTGTTTTAAAATTAATCGGGTTAATGGATATTTCAATTGTATTATTTTGATAAGCCCGTTGTGATCATGTTGAGTTAGGTTTTTGGCATATGTTGGTATTGGGCCTAATTGGGCAGCAATGTAGGCTTTAGTGTGACCCTGGTTTTTCGTGATGGGTGGACCCAATGGACATAAACTTTTTTCAGAGTATTTGGCTAGGTCCCATCTCTAGCCTATTTATATTGGGATTAAGTCCCATGAGCCGTCATGCTCCCATTGCTGAAGACTGCCATTTTGGAATAGGTCATAGAGAGGAAGACTCTAGCCGTGAGATCAAGATTCTTCGCTGATCAGTAGATAAGATAGCCAAATCAGGTACACAAATTTCTCTCAGAATAAAAATTGATACGTGGTGTTTTATCTATCATACATGTATCGATCTTCATGTTAAATTATTATATGAAAAAATCTCACAGAACGCACCAATGGCAACTCAACTACTGCTTTTAGAGTAGTTTTGGCTTAATTTTTTTTTTTAAGTTGTAAAATTTTATTTGTATTCTTAACTCCAATTAAACTGGGTCTCAATTTTGATTCCTGAAAATGACATGTTCTTTTTTATCGTTAAATTGGAGCCCTCAGTTAGTTTTATACAAGGTTATAAAAATTGTATAGGTGGTCGACAAGGTTGGGGTCCTTGTAACTGGGTCACTCCTTAGATTGAAATTTACTTGGTTTGAATTTATAAAGAAGTGTATAATATATATTATGATTGTGATAAAATATCTCAATTAAAGGATTGACATAATGGATGTTGTCTCTTATTTCATGCTATGTCACCTGGATTTTAGTGTTGAGAACTGCACATTGCATAAAGTGATTTTTTAAAAAACACTCGAAATCAGTCCAATTTGTCACCTATTGAACCTGGGTCGCAGACAGATCATCAAGTCGTTACCGGTTCACATGCATTTTGGGGGTCTGATTTCTGAGCCAACCAATTGGATCAGCCGATTTGGTCCGGTTTTCGTAACAATGACACATAGAAAAATAATAATTCCTCACACCTATTTTAGTTGTATTGTAACTTTTAATTTAATTTAATTTTCCTAAAAAAATATAATGTTTTTTCCAAGCACAATGATGATACTGGTTCCTGTTCTATAGAATGCTATTGCCTAATTATTTACAACTTTTTTAGCATCTCGTTGTATTTATTGTGTTTGATGATTTACATAATTTATTGACAAATAGGATCTTCACCCACTGTATTTATTTTTTTCCTCGGCCTTGTGTCCCATTTGGGGAAAAAAATTATAATTTGTCACGTTGATCCTATTAGTAGTATTTGTTTATCTGCATAGCCATTAAGGTAATGCCCTTGGATTGATGGGATAACTCCTAGATTATTAGCAACCTACCTTTCACAAGTGTCAATGACTAATTATTTTAAAAGCCTAACTATTAGATGAATCATAAATGTAAATAATTGGTTTTTCATTTATAACACCTCTTTTCTCGCAAAAACTAATTTTCAATCTCGAAAACAAACATCGAAGCTGTAATAATATAAATCTTAACGATGCAGTCAAGGAAGTTATGATCCCATGTCAAATTAAAAAGATCAACTATCCCATAAGCAACCTCACTGTTTACATCAATTAAGAAAATGAAGAATACACACTGTATATCATAGAGTATTCAGAACATACATAATGCTTCATGGGAAAATATACATAGTAAGCCATGCGAACGTCTAATAAACAAACAGTAGTACTTAGAATTACACACTGCAAATATTTATATCGAGATTAGTAGCTAATGCTACAGAAACTGGTTTATTTATGGACAAGACTAGTGAATTTTTCACTCAAAATCTACTTGGGAACCCAAACAACGTGATCCTCAGGAAGGAAGTGGCACACTGGAATGTTTCCTGGCTTAATTTTGAGCACTTGAAAGGCCAAATGCTTGGGGTTCCATTCTGATGTGTCTGTGTGGCATACTGCTATTGCTTTAACTCTGATTCCATTAACACCCTCCAAAGGAACAAAGTAAGCTCTAGCGGTTTCTGTTTTGTGACAGTAAAACACAGCATATGGATAATTTTGCTTATGACACACAACAACTTTGTCCCCTGGTAACTTCTTTACTCCTTGTGTCATGGTGTATTTTTGCAACTTTGTTTCATTATCTACTACTTCTGTAGACACTGCCTCAACATTTTTTCCAAGCTTTGAAGTGCTAAAATCAACCATAGATTCTAGTGAAGTTGCGCAATACTTTTCCTCTCCTCTAATCCCCTTTTCTTCACACTCATTGATGGTAATCTTCACGATTCCAGCCTCTTTAGACTCAGGTTTAAAAGAAAACTTGTTAAGTATATCATCCACCTTGTTTGATGAAAAGGGTATCGAATCCGCAACTTCGCGAGGCAAGAATGTGGCAGCATTGGAGCTCCTAGTGAAGTGGAAGTTCAATTTTGTTCCAGGATGCAAGTCTTTTTCCAAGAAGAAGACTGCCATATTCAGGTCATCATGTAATTCGGTCTCGGTCGCAACATATTTGTAGCGAAATTGGTTTGGGCTTGCACTCATCGGAACTCCTCCACCTTTTCCACCAACGTTGACATTGGTACCACTTCCTTTTCCTGCATGCCTGTTTACGCTTCCTTTTCCATCATTCAGGGCATCATGTAATTCAGTCTCGGTCGCACCATAATTGTAGCGAAATTGGTTTGAGCCTGCACTCACTGGAACTCCACCACCTTTTCCACCAACGTTGACATTGGTACCACTTCCTTTTCCTGCATGCACGTTTACGCTTTCTTTTCCATCATTCAGGGCATCATGTAATTCGGTCTCGGTTGCAGCATATTTGTAGCGAAATTGGTTTGGGCTTGCACTCACCGGAACTCCTCCACCTTTTCCACCAACGTTGACATTGGTACCACTTCCTTTTCCTGCATGCACATTTACGCTTCCTTTTCCATCATTCAGGGCATCATGTAATTCGGTCTCGGTCGCACCATAATTGTAGCGAAATTGGTTTGAGCCTGCACTCACTGGAACTCCACCACCTTTTCCACCAACGTTGACATTGGTACCACTTCCTTTTCCTGCATGCACGCTTACGCTTCCTTTTCCATCATTCAGGGCATCATATAATTCGGTCTCGGTCGCACCATAATTGTAGCGAAATTGGTTTGGGCCTGCACTCACTGGAACTTTTCCACCTTTTCCACCAACGTTGACATTGGTACCACTTCCTTTTCCTGCATGCACATTTACATTTCCTTTTCCATCATTCAGGGCATCATGTAATTCGGTCTCGGTCGCACCATAATTGTAACGAAATTGGTTTGGGCTAGCACTCACTGGAACTCCTCCATCTTTTCCACCAACATTGACATTGGTACCACTTTCTTTTCCTGCATGCACATTTATGCTTCCTTTTCCAACATTTAGGGCATCATGTAATTCGGTCTCGGTCGCAGCATAATTGTAGAGAAATTGGTTTCGGCCTGCCCTCACTGGAACTTCTCCACCTTTCCCCACACCTACATTGGTGCTTTTGTCTTCCACCAAATCTGCATATTAATATAATTATGAAGACCAACTAGAGCTACGAAGACCATAAGATGTGTATACTTTTCAGAGCTAATGATGAGTAGTAAATGGTTCCATAATTTATAATTAAAAAAAGGTTTAGTTTTGTATTTTGATCAAAAACTAAACCATATTTTAGGCCCATATCTAAAAGCACAAAACAAATGGTAAAATCACGTATTTTATTCAATTTTAAAATTAAAATATAACAAGCATAAAAATAATGTTTTAAAATTTTTTGTGACAAAATATAATAATTAACAATTATTTTGGGTGCATGATTTCACGGTGACAAGGCCCAATTTGTAATGGGTGGGTCCATCTATTCATAAGAAGTCGTACAACAATTCTTACATATGGACCAGCCAAATTAAGTTGGCTGCCATCTTTGTCATTCTTGCAGCTCGTGCATGAATTTAAGCCAACCGTTCAGTAAAAATGCAGTAAAAAATGTGGTTTTTTTTTTTATTAGTTGTTACTATAGTTTAATGTATTAAAATCGGGTGTATATAATGTTTTGTAAATTTTAGGTTAACTTAATCATGCATTTTTTGTATTTTAACTTAAAATTCAATTTAGTTCTATAGTTTAAAGTCATCCAAAAAGTTCTTATAATTTTTAAACAATGAAAAATATTTCATATTAATTACATTTGTTTTCTACTTAGAATAAAATTATAGGGACCTAATAAATACCATTTTACTTATTTAAAAATCATCGTAACATTTTTAAAGGGTTTTGAACTGTTAGGATTAAATTTAATTTAAAGTGAAACTATAAGTAATAAATGAGTAATTTAACTAAAATTTTAACCGAATGAGAAAAGAAATTCTATTGATAAGTTCCACCAACAGAAAAAAGGTTTGTTGATTCCAATCATATGCATATCGAAAGGTTATCATGCTTAAATGAAATTTTCAAATACGAAGTATTAAATAAAAAATAAAATATTCAATATTCTGATAACATAATAAGTATTTATTGAAATTTTAATTTATTAAAAATATTTGATATGAAATATTAATACTGTTCAATTACCACCTTGTTACTTGTTAACCGAAACCTTTTTTTTAATGTTTATTTTAACGCAGCATATGAAGTTTGAAAATGAGTCCCCCGTAAAGATATACAGGATGTGCAAATTTGAGGCTCTGAGATAGCAAAGATGCAATGTTTTTCTCCCTTAAAAAAAAAACTGATTTTTATGTTAAGTTCTTTTAAAAATTTTGCAATACAAACGGGTTTGGCTGGTAAGATATGAAAGTGTATACAGTTACATGCTAATTAGAAATTGATAGATTTGTGAAACATACAATATGAATGCAATTGTTTGTGGAAAATGTTATTCTTACTATCATTTTTTTTTTTTTGCTACCAACTTTGTTATCATTAGATCAAAATCAAAGTAACAATTACTAAAAAATCAAGTGAGATCGGTTGATTTAATTTTGATCGAATGATAACAAAATTGATAATAAGAGAGGGTAAGAAAAAATGAAAATAAATATAACCTCCTCGTATATGTCAGTTCCTTTCACCTTTTTCTCCCCTAAACTCTTTCAGGATTAGAGGTGAGTTTAGGTCCAATGGTCATTGGTCATTAGCGATATACGCTCTGATCTACTTATAAAACTTGGCCTTACCAACTGATTCCGCTAGTATACTGGTATATTTAAAAGTCTCGGTATGCCTTTAATGTTTAAATAGACTTAAACCATTATGATTGGTATAGTGATGAGGAATTGAGATAATTTATGTAAGTTCATAGATTCGAATATCAATCCCACTGTATAGAAAATAAAAAATTCTAAATAGACTTTCGGAACAGTTTAAGCTTTAAAAAAAAAAAAATCAGGTTAGTCCTAAAGTCTTTAAATAGACTTTCAGTAAAGTTTAAGCATTAAAAACGGTACTCTTTTTCCCTTATTATAGTTTTAGATTCTCGACTGGTAATAATTTAAAATTGAACTTGAACTTAATTACAACGTGTACTGACCCAGGTGAAGGATATCAGTGATAGCTTTTGGCATGGGCGTGGTAGGGAGCACGGACTTCCAGTAAAATTCAGGAGGCGAGGCAGCATGGGTTGCCACCACCGCAAGCTGCAAATTAAATTAAATACAAAACCTCGTTAGCATCAATTCTCATAAACATCGAATATATTACCAAGAGATTATTCATACCCATATATGTATGAGTGCGCATTAATTTAACTATACTAATATTAAGGGTAAATTGTTAAATATTTATCCGTTATTGGTCATAAAAATTAATAAATATATCACTGCCTATCAAAATGAAATTCCCATGATCTTTAAGTGCGTTTGGTACGCGGGATTCTTCAAAAATCTCAGGAAACTGAATTTTTTTAAATTTTAAATTTTAAATTTACGGATATTATCATAAACTGAATATCAACATCAACAACATCTTTATCTCAAATTAATTGGGGTCGGTGGTAGATGAACCCACAGGAAAGATACAAAACAGTTGAAAAAAAAAAAAAAAAGATAAAATAAAATAACAATATATGTATATATAAATAAATAAAAGTAAATTGAATATAAACTGAATATAAAAATCATATTTTTGAAGATTGAGATTCCCGGCTAAAAAAAAATTTCTCCTGCACCAAACTACTCTAACAATTCCCTATTCCAAATAAAAGTAAAGGAAGAAATCGTGCTTTTGTAATATTTGAAGAAAAAAGAAGCCACAACTTGAAGAAAAGTAATAAAAAGCACGTTTCAGTTGCTCGGAAAGTTGAAGCTCACATTGAGTAAAGCGAAAATGGATAGGAGAGGATACTCCATATATACTGGGAAGCAAAGCTGCAACCTTAATCTTGTTGATGATAAGGGGAGAAAGTTATAGGAACTAAAAGCGAGGCTGGGTAATATTTATAATGCTATCAAAGTTATGCCCAAGATGTAGTTATAATTATTAGAAAATGGTTTCTAGAATCGGTTGCTTGCAAAGAAACTTACCACTATTATCGTGCATTTTAAATGCTTAAACTGCCCCGGGTTCACTGACTTTAATCACCCTTGTTGTCCTTAGTGGGAGTGAGAATGGGATATAGACTGTAGACACATACTGAGAGTGAGAATGGGGAGGCGACGGGACTGTGTTCTCTAGTGTGTGTGTGTGTTTTTCTTCGTAAGTATTTAATGAACAATTTTTAATTTTTATTTTGATATAACCAGTAGGTATACTGACTTATTCCTCTCTTGCCACTCAACTAACTTCTTATTGAATAAAATGGTGTATTGAACAATTGTTGATGAGTGTCAAATAGTACTATGTTTATAAGAGCAAAATTACATTAAATAAAGATAAATATGATAAAGAATATAGTATAAATTAATAAATGCAAAAGGTTATAAAGTTTTTATACTTGATATGATTCTAATATATTTTTCATCTTGTTTCAGGTATAAAATAATAATCACAAATAATAAGGAATAAAGACAATTGCAAAGGATAAAGATCAAGAAAAATAAAAAATTCTTGTTCGCTGGAGCGAGCGAGCCCCAATTAGAGCGAGCAATGCATGCGATGAGTTAAAATTTTCTCGTTGAGCAGCTCGCTTCAACGAGTCTTGTCCAAATTAAAAGCCAGTTTTATTTCTTTAAAAGAGACGCAATTAGGGCTTTTGACAGGATTCACGCGGCCAGAGACTTGGAGAGGAAGCAAAGGAGAGCTCTTGGAAAGGAGAAGGAAAATGAACAACTCAAAATTTCGTCGTGGATCATCTTTAATTTGGTTTTATCATGAATTCTCTTTTTCTTTTATCTATCGTTCTTGTTTTCTTGAATATGTTAGGCTAGTTCTTTTTATGTAGTTAGGGCGAGATGGAACCAATGAGTTCATGAACGCTGTTTAATCCTTCTTGTAATTATTTTTCATGTTTCAATTATGCAATTAATCTGTTTTGAATTCTTAGTCTCGTTTATGATCTAGCCAATTTTGAATGGGCATTAGAATCTTGCATGTCAATAGGAATATTGCTTTCTTGATTCCGTTTGATTAATTGTTAGAGTTTGTATGTTATAGGAATAGTCTTATAAATTCTATGAAGCATAATTCTTGACCTTAAAGCTTTGCTTTAGAAGAAAGCCCTAAGAGATTAGAGCCTGTGAATAGAATAAAGAACTGAAACCGCTAAGGGATTGTGGATTCAGTTAAATTAGAAAGGATTGTCAATAATTGATCTTGAATGTTAATTGCATGAAAAATTAGACTCGTTAGGAAAACATTGGGGAATTCAAATCCCTAGCTATGCTCGTCTTTAATTAAAGGTTAAAATCGTTTTTCATTCTTGATTTCTGTTCTTAATTTCTTAATATTAAAAATTAAAAATATTTTATTTTTACAATTAAATCAATATTCTCAACAAATTCATTTCCAAGATCGATCCAACTTTAATTAAATAAATAAATTATTGCTTGATAAATCAATCCTCGTGGGTTCAACGACTCTACTTTAACCATTTTATTACTTGTATGATCGATGCACTTGCCGAAGTCGTAACAATTGTCAAAGAAAAGGTAAGACTTACCCCTCACGGAAGCTTTGAGGGCAAAAGTTTCACATCTAACCCAATATGCAATGAATTCTGGGGCAAATTAATGAATTAAAAATAAATTTATTAGATGAAAATATAAGTGTTTAATATTTTTAAGATCCAAAAGCATTAAATAGTTGATTTTTATATAATTCAAAAATAATAATAAATGTTTTTTTTATCTTGTAACACTTGTTTTCTTAAGATTAAGAACATGCTTGAAAAAAATTCTTAACTGAAAAATAAAAATATATTGAATTTCTTAATGCGTATTTTAAGATGGAAGTTAATAAAATTAAATAAAAAGTTTTATATGAAACCTAAACTATTTATTATCTTTGGAACAAGAAAAGTATTTAATGTTCATCTCTTTAAATATTTTTTTCCGTTTTAAAATAATTATCACTTTAAAGGATTTAATTCATTTTAAATTATTAATCACTTTAGAAAATCAATAAAATATTAGTTATTGTTATTTTTATTTTATCTTTATCTTTTAATATCTCTATTAAGTGAAATAATAGAGCATTAAAGACAATAATATAGTCAAATTAACTGATATTTTCCTGAAATGAAAAGTATTTATTGATTTTCTTAATCATTGTATAATAGAACCTTCAATGATAATTATTAACTAGTGTCCTTAAGACTAAAACTGATTACAAATACTCCTAAAAGTAAAGCAAGTTTGTGCTCACTCCATTAAGATCTTAAGATTTTAGCTTTAATTAAAGATGGGTCTAATCACTCACTTATATGTTTATTATTTTTAGTTTTTAAAATAAAAATAAAATTGAGAACTTTTTCCAACATTTTTTTTAAGCTAAAAGCTACTTTTAAGCTAAAGTTGAAAAAAAATTATAAATTGTTTCCTGGGTTTTGCAAAGAAAAGATGAAATGATTCGCTATTAGAATAAATTATTAAGATAAAGAGTAAAACTTATAAATAAAAAATTAAAATAAGGACAAAACTAAATAATAAATATAACTACAAAAAGTTGGCATACATAAAAAAATCCATCTTGGAAATTTTTAACTTTTTTTATTCATTATAAAAAAATTATTTTTATAATAATAGCTTTTGTAAAAATATATTCAAGGATAAAAATGTAATAGTGATCTCATATGTAGCTCCGTAAATATGCAATAATTTATGAGTATGATATCTATTATATTATAGAAGATAAAATCATCTCTTATATGTACATAAAAGTGTGTGAAGAAGAGAACAAACAAAGAAAATATAAGCCCCATATACTTTTACATATGAATAGGAAATAATTTTATCTTATACAATATAAGAAACATTAAATCCATAATTTATACTTCGAAGTAGGGGTGTTAACAGGCCGAGCCGAGCCGAACCGTACTTTGGTCTTAAAAGGCTAAGTCTGTGTTTAAATGTGTCAGTCTAGCCTAGCCTATTAACTGTTATGAATATAATCATCGGCCAGTGGCCTGACTTATTTACAAAAAATAAAAGTTTGATTTAGCCTATTAAAAACAAATAAGACAACAAAAATTTGTTCAAACATAATATACGATCAACAACACTGATAATTTCACAAAGATTCATAAATTTAATGTATATACAAACAATATAATATTGAGCAAAATCATTCAAAATGTCTGTTTAACCAATAAAGTGTGTGTGTGTGTATTTAGGACATTCATTTGAAAAAAAATGCTTAATATTACAAATGGGGTCAAGATCATTTTACATCAGTGTAAGATACACTCTTAATCTTGTCCGTTGATCCCACTTATATCTAAGGGTTCAAATTTTTTAATAATGTGAACCATTGGATACAAGTGGATCAATGGTCAAGATTGAGTATAAGACTTCTAACTCTTACATCGATGTAAGAATATCCTGCCCCTTACAAATGTATATTTGTAAAACAACTTGTATAATAAGAAAATTTAAAAAGGTTGATTTATGGTGTTTACTTAGTTATCTTTTTACTCTCCAATCTTAATGTTTTCTCGTTCTTTAACAAAGATTGATTAAGCAATCTTTTATAACTTTAAGTATTTATTTATAACTTTCGTAAGTTTTATACAAAATAATATAACATACATGTCAAACTATATACTTTTAAATTTAGATATTACCCAATTCAACCTAAATATGGGATGATTGATCCTTTTGTCCCAGATTAAATATTTTACTTATCTGTCCAAAATATTTTACCGTTGACCGAATTATGTACTTAGTACATAAACTTTGTACTCAAGTATTTTTTGTAAAATTAAGATACTGAGTACAAGACTAGTATTCTCGAGTATCTTGTGCTCGAATAACATACTTTTCTATTCTTCCTTCCTTCAATTAAATAACCCAATTTTTTTTGTCTTGACTGAAAAAGTTGCAAACTCGTGATCTTAGGCATTGTTTTCCTCTGCTCCTTTGTACGTGTATCTTTGTCCGTGTAGGTGTACGGTCTAATTCCTTTTCATGAAAGTTTTCAAACTGCAAATTAGAGTTTGCATGATCCTACTCTGTTTCTCGTAAAGAATTTTGAGATACATCACTTTAAAAGTTAATTCTTAGGGTGAGAACGTTCAAGACTTTATAAACTCCACATTAGTTGTATATATAATCAATGTGGAACTATATATCTCAACACACCCCTCACACGAGAGCCTATTGGGCTAGAAGCGTGGATATTGCACATACCCAATTTTTGATTTACCTTTTTGTGCTTTTTTATTTTAATTCCACGTTAAAGTGGGAGCGGTGAGGATCAAACTTGTGACCTTCTAGTCACGAACTTGGGATACACCACCCCAAAAGCTAGCTCTTAGGTTCTTTTGAGAATCTATTTTGGTGAGACTAGTTAGTTCTCTTGGGTTCTTTTGAGAATCTCTGAACTTATCAAGGGCATCAATCCTTGTGGCGTTCTTGGGCTTATCAATTCTTTGGAATTGTGGCGCCTACCTATAATCCTTAAACTCCAATTTTGTTCTATATTATCTTGGATTCATATCTCCCGAATTCCTTATCCTTTTCTGGTGATTCTTGTGCCAAAATCGTGATTCAGGAAGCCATCTTTCACCTCGTTTTGGAATCACCCAAATCCGAGGTCCGTAGCGTGAGATACGTTCTGTTTTTAACAGTACGTGTTGGCGGCTGAATTTGGAGTTATAATTTTCCATTCCTAGTAGATCCATTCCTCCAATCCTATTGGGGGATCATATCATGTGTAGCTCTTAGGGTGGGAGTGCCCAAGACCTTATAAACTT